ATTTCGTTACTTTTTAGTGTACTGTTTTTTTTGAGAATATTTTGTTTTTGGTGTATTTTGTTTTGTTTTTAGTGCATTTTGTTTTGTTTTACCTGATATAGACATGTGTAGAATTATTAGTTTTTTTATAACATAAAGTATGATGGCAAACGAGCAAACGACTACGTAGGGTATGCACCTTTAATTCACATAAAGAGGATATTTCTCCTTCCTATGCGTCTCTAGCTCTAATCCACATTCCCTTTCCATCCTTTTCTTAAAAGAAAAAGTGTGGGAAGGAAAAGGGTCCAAAGTTAAGCCTCCTAGTTTTTGTACCTTAATATAAAATGTTTACGACCCCTGCATTAGTTAATGTTCTCAAAGCATCCCTCGCTCGGACCGAGGACTTGTTGCGCAGCCACGACTTTGATAACACAATTTACACGACTAATGAATTAAATTATGCTATAAAATATTGCTAGGCGCTGTGTTGGAGTTTAAGGTTTACTTGATGTTAGTTCGAAATTTTTTTTAAACATAAGGTAATTTATCCGCGTGAAATTAAAAAATAATAATAAACATAGCTTATATTACTCACAGATAATATAACTTTCTAATAGTGAAAGATTTATTAAAATCGGTTCAGTAGTTTTTGAGTTATTTCAATACATATAAAAATACAAATCTTTCCTCTTTATAATATTAGTATAGATTTGTTCTTGACGTATATTCAATCTAAAATATACTTCGAACAACAAGTTTTATATAATAAAGCCATATATGTTTTTGCTTTAAACGGTCGTAAAAATCATAACCTTAAAAATAACAATTTAGTATATAATTTAAAATGTTAAACCATTCTATAATTAACAAAAAATAATACAGAGAAATCAACAAAATAACAAAACTGCCTCATCTTAAATCTATTTTTTTTATATTTCATAGACTTTGATAGATGTATAGATAAATGCTAACACGCTACTCAAAAAGCAATATCGTGTCAATGAGATGAATAATACATGTTCAACTCGTGTCCGAGTAAAAAGGTTTGATCTATGTGCTTTGAATATGTGGAAATAATTCACAAACTATAAGGTTTTTAATTTTAAATAGACATGTTTTCCACCCTTTTCTCACAAGGAAGAAGGTAAATGGATATA